TTTTTTTTGTTTTTGTTGTTGTTGTTGGGAGCTGACAGGATTGTGTACTCGTGGGATGAGGAGTTAGATTTGCAGCAGCAGCAGCTTCCTCCCCTGCAGCTGTGTCATTAATGCAGTGCTGTATAAGAACGTGCATTATGGCTGCTGCTGCTGCTGCTGCTGCTGGATAATGGAGGATAATGCTTTAATGGTCCGCAGTGCTTCTTAAAGGACCATACTGCTGTTTTTTTTGTTTGGCATTCTTTAAAAAAAAAAAAAAAACTGCATTACTTTTCTCTTCATGCTGCATTATTTTTTTTCTTCCAGGAAGCCGTAATTGGGTTCCACTCATTTTCACTATGGTATGAAAATCAATGTGCAAGAGATTTTAACAGTCAGACACAATCCAATCTGCTTTTACTGTAGTTGAAATTGCATTATCGTTCCAGTTAGAAAGTGTCTGAAGCAAAGAGGATCCCAAAATAAATCTGAAAGAGAGGGGAAGGAAAGAGAGGGAGGGGGGTCATATGATTAAAAGGGTGATAGCCTATAGATAATAATATATCTCTGACAGGCAATATGATATTAGCTCTTTGCTTGTGGGATATTGGACAATGTAACGTCGTCAGATCCTTAAAATGCTGCAATGAAAGAGGGAAAAAAATCTCATTTTGGTTGAATTTGTCCTCTCAAACCTGTAAAATGAGACAGCAAGAAGAATAAAATGCTGTTATTGGTTGTTATTATTCCTTAAATAATCAATATAGCCAGCACTGTATAGTAGTATAGTCAGGTTTTTGTCCTTGCCCAGGAGCTGTCCCCTCTATGTAGCCTTGGGTTTGGAGGTCAGCAGGACATCCATGACAGTTCATCACATGGATAAACACACACACACACACGCACACACACACACACACACACACTATACGAACCGCTATAGCATCCTTAAACTCACCTGAGCTGCTCGTCTGCTGTCTTTAAGCTGCAGGAAGAGACAGAGCACTGCAGAAAAAACACACATGAAGGGGGGCCAGAGCTAAGATGTGACAGTCCTGAGCCTCTATTCTTTAATACATAATGTACTTATTGCACTCACAGTATCCAGTGTATTCAGTGTTAGGCTGTGGTCAGTGTAATTCCATGGTACAGTCAGTATACAGTTGACATTTATACATAAAGTATAAGTCAGGCTGTATGACCCCCTGTGTCATAAGAGATTTCCCCAGCTCAATATAGAGAAGTTTGTTCATTACATTCTTTATGAAACTGCAATAAATAGGGTTTGTTCCTCTCTATATAATCGATGTCCCTCGATGCTTTTGATATTAAACACAATAAAGAACACTGAAATTCAACGAGTCGATGGCTGAGAGGACTTTTGTGACAGTGAGGGGATAAAATGAGACTGGGCCCAGTGAAGCTGAACACTGAGATATAAAAGGAAGAAAGTAGGATTTGAACAGAAATGGGATTGAGTGGAATAAAAAAAAGAGACAAACTGGAGCAGAAGAAGAAGAACATGCATGAAAAGTGAACTGAATTGGTCAAAAGTAAGAGGGAGGGATATAATCAGATAAGGACACAGTGGAAGAAGACAGAGAGGGAGAGGGGGGGGAAGCAGAGGAATATGGGTCGTCTCTCCTCGTGTTCACAGCGGACCTTGATTTAAATGTCCATACAATTAAGGCACGCGGTGAATGCCAAGAGAGCGGCCAACAATCAGCACTGAACGGAGAGTGTTCGGGGGGATGTGAGGCAGCCTAGATCCACAACTCTAACATAAAAATGACTAAAAACACATTTCAGAATCACCAACGTGGCTTTTCTTTGAATAAAGATGGCGGATTTCTGCCTGTTTGGAAGCATCAAGGTAATGTGGAAGAGCCCGATGCAGTACCACTAATGGGCACTAGATGGTGCTAGCTTCCTTTTATACAAAAAAAAAAAAAAAACGGCGACAGATACATACATATTTATTAAAAATGTTGAGGATAACACAAAAAAGGTTTTTTTTTTGGTTTCCATTGTGGTACTTCACTGTAAGTTCATTTTACTTTTAAGTAAAACTGACTCAATTTCTTGATGAAGTAGTAATTTTTAGTGAAACTGGCTTCATTTTGTGATATTTATTTCTAATATGAAAACAAAATACCTAATAATATTTTGCTGTAACCTACAAAACTAAGTTAGTGTCACTTAAATTTACCAGTAAAACAATCAAGAATCTTTTTCGACTTAAAAAAATGTAGTTTATGTTCCTTAAAATGTTTGCTGTAAGTTAAAATAACATTGCACTACAGTGTTGTACCTCATACCTTTTTTAAAGCTCCTTGGAGTCTTATTCAAAGATAACAAAACCAAACACAACATCAAAGTCATGTTTCTTTATGCGTAGATAGATACTGTAGAGTTTAATCCCAGAGGAAAATTGCAACTGCAATTTCATTTTCTTTGTTGGCTGATAAATAATTTCCCATATCAGTAATATTTAATACTTCCACAAAGGTAGAACAAAAACATTTTGTACTATCTGTTCGTGATGTGAAAATCCCTGAAATTTTTAATTAAAAATGAAGTTGTTGCCTGCAGAGTCTCGACTACAAAACAAAAACAGTACAAAAGCAGTCAGACTCAGTAAAGAGCATCATTCACACTGCTTTCACCTCTTCGCTCCATCACCATCGTCGTACTTTATGTTTCTGTTGCGTTTCACTAACATCACCCTCTTCCTAAATCATCAAAATAAAAAAAATCCTCTTGCATTTGTCTTCGAGAAGGGGGTCGGACTCTCAGGAGTGTCCGACACGCAGGTCGGGCAAATGTCCTCGATGATACGTCTGATTAATTCAGCTTTTTATACGAGCTCTGTAAATTAAATTAGAAGTAATAATGGAATACAGCAACAGGGTATGAGCACAGCCAGAGCTTTAATATACTCGCCAGTGATTCAACCACATTCAATTTAATATTCAAAATCACTTTAACCACAAAATGTAGATTTACTGAAGATTGAAAATACAAAGTGAACCAAAAAAATAACATGTATGATTTCTACAACAACACAGAGAATATATAGAGTGATAATCTGAGTAAAGAAATATTAAAATATGTAGAATGAGCTTCACATAAACTGAAACTTAAACTTGTGAGCATGTGTGTATGATAACATGTAATATAAAGGAGGATAAATTGTTAGCTTCCTGTTGGTCTGCATGGGTCCACATTGGCCTGCTCTGCTTCAGTGGTGATTTACCAAACTGTAAATTCACACAACACTGAATCATTATGTTCTTTATGTGCAGAAAGAGCCAACAAAAATACTCCCAGTTGTTGAATCCTTCAAAATAAAACTCCCAGTGTCTCCTGAGATTATGTTAATCTTTTCCTTCCTAATAAAATAACTGTATTTTATCATAATGTCTGTCTCACAGTCACATGTTCTCCTGTGGCAGATGTCTGTCTGCAGGTGTAATGTGAATATAAAAAAACACTCGTACGTGGGCTGACTTCAGTCTATTCCAGGCTGAGTCGGGTAGGTGAGTATGTTCAGTTTCAGGAGACTTGGAGCCAGTCAGAGCAGGAAACCTCCTGAGTTATCACTTACTAATGCATTTTCCCCAAACACACAGACTTTTGTATTGATTGCGGAGGAACAGTACCTCTGCTGGGAAAGGAGACTGTATAACGCTGTAGGATGTAATGTTTGTTAATGTGGACAACCACACTGAGGGAATTTACCAGGCAGGACTTCGTCTGGTTATTCAGCTCCTAAAAAGTCCTAAAAATAGATATTTTTTTAATCAGTTTTTATGTTTTTACTAAAGATACAATCTGTAAATAAGCTATAATCTATCATTTGTGTATTCAGTTCATCGTATTTGTGCTCTTACTTTACAAACTGAATCAAGGTTTTGGGTTTTTTGGGGGGGTTAAAGAGACTTTTTCTTAAAAACATCTGTAAAATGGTTTTCTAATATCTAATTAATTTATTGGTAATTATTTATTGGTCATTGCCATGAATCAGTGGGAAAATTAACTGTAACTTTCACTTTTATCAAATTTTATTTGCTTTGATTTTTACTAACTGACCTTTCGTTGGTTTTATTTGTTTTATTAGACTAAAATTGGTTTTATGATCTGCTTGTTATTGATTGTTGATCTGCTGCCTCGTGTGAAGCACTTTGTAACGTGGGATTAGAAATAAACATTATTATTACTTGTGTAAAGTGTACCTATAAAATGTATAATCTACTCATTTTATTGTTAAAGTCAATTATTTTACACAATAACACAATAACGTGTCTCTGGTTTAATAATTAATAAAAGTGATAATGTGCCATATTTCCCCCCATGATTATTCACAACCTTTGTATCTCTGTATTGATTTCTGATATAACATCTTTATTGATTATGGAGGAAAGCTAGCATGATCAGAAGGGAAATGAAGAGTGGGACCTAAGCTGTGTATTGATAATGTATGTATGTATATTCTGTCAATAACGGAGCAATAAAATCAATCAGTTAAATGATTTACTGTGTTGCTTTTCCTTTGTCTTGTTTTACAGATTGCTTAATTTATTTATAACTATGAATATTTTACACGTATTAAATTGGAGGTTATGAAAGGATTGTGATCATTGTTAAATATTGATCAAAGGCCAATTAGCAATAAGGTTTCCATAAACTTCCTTATATTTGTTATTATTTATATAATATATTAATTTCTATGGATACTTATTTTTTTAAGAATCATAAAAATAAACTTCTTCTCTCACTTGTGTTGGATAGTTAGTTAGTTATGTTACTTTTTGCGTAAGAACACAGTGGTGACACAATGAACCGGGATTAAAATGCTTGAAAACTATCTTTTATTTGAACTTTATTAAACAAAAATACAATCCATATCAAACACACAATAAAGGCATTGCTTCTGCAAACACACACACACACACACACAGAAAACAGCTCATTTCAGACACATTAAATAGTCCTTCTAACTGCACGTAAAGTCCCAGTCGAACCTGTTAAAGTATCACAATATATCTGCATTGAATCAGGCAGAAAACCTTTGGCTTTTTATTCAGCGATGCCATCCTGAGAGAAAGAGGAGAAAGACAGACAGAGAGAGAGAGAGACAGAGATATATGGGTGATACGGCAGAGTGGAGGGATGTGTTTCCATGGCGACGGCTCAGGATAAACTGACCAGTCGAGGGACAAAAATATAGTTTGAGCACAGGAAGGTCAGTGGGAGGGTCGTGTGTCCCGTCATCCAGATTTTAATGACGCAAAACAAGTGTGACGATATTCTATGTCTTTCTTATCGATAAAAAAGACCAAAACCATCAATAAATTGATCTATTGAACTGTTATTTGTGTCTATCTTCTTCCTCTGTGCTCCATTATTGTCCAAATAAACTACATCAGTGTCCTGCTGCTGTAAATATTCACAAAACACCAAATGCGTGTTAATCCGTGAGTGAAAATAGAGCCCAACAAATGCAGTTTCCTCCTGTTTGACTGACATCTGTTAAAAACTACAGTGACCAGCTGTTTCAGGAATGTATTATAATTATATTTTAAATAAAACAATTAAACTGTGAGCTGTTTTTAAAGATTTACGTCTTTGAGCTTTGGGCTGGGAGCTAACACACAGCAGGAGATCAGTAACAAAAATATACAATATCAGCTTCAATGAAAGAGCAGTTTGGAGTAAATATCTTATAAATATTATTGTATTAGATTTATTATTAGATATTTAGATTTTAAGATGTACTGCTTGTATTCAGGATCATAAAAGTAAACATTCACATTACTTCAGGTGCATAAACTGATCCCAATAAGACCCAATATTCTGGGTTTCAGTGACGAGTTTGCACCACTAATGCAGTTTGAAACCTTTTGCTTCATAGAATCTTTTATTCTTTTTGCTGTGACGATCAAATTTTAAAGGAATGGTTCAACATGTTAGGAAATGCACTTTTGCTGTCTGGCAGAGAGTTAGGCGAGGAGATCGACACCACGCTCATGTTCGTACAGCCAGTTAGCATAGCTTAGCACAAACTGAAAACAGGGAACAAAGTTTCTTGACTAACTAGGTAAAACCACAACAGTGAGGCTGTTTCACCTTCAGAGTCAAGATATCTATGTCCCTGTATCCAGTCTTTATGTTAAGCTAGGCTAAGCGGTTTTAGTTTCATATTTACCGTACAGACATGAGATGTTGGTATTTATCTTCCCATCTAATTCTTGCCAAAACTACTCAAAATACTCAAAATACTCAAAATGTCAAAGGATTTAACCTTCCTCAATGCAAAAGGTTTATGTAAATTCAGAAGGCTAAACCAAGGTCATGTCCAGAGTAACATCTCAATACATTAATGTGAACTTATTGTCTTAAGCAGGCGTTAACATTAATCAGTTCCACATACTGGAATATGTGCCTGATTTTAAGGCTGTAAGTTATCTTTAGATTAAACTGCTTTAAATGTGACTGTTTTTAGCAAAAAAACAATGAATACAAAATAAAGTGGAGGATTAAGGGGATTAAGAAATTTCCACAGGATTACATACTGTAACTGGAAGTGCAGAAAAGGCTTTGAAACAGTATTTAAACAGCCAAGAAAGGAGATAAAATTTACATTTAGAAAAATATAAATGAAAAGTTTAATAAATAATTCATTTGCAGGGGGGAAGAAAGTTGGTGGCTAGTCAATTTTTTTTTTAAATGACAGAGAAAAGGAGAAGAGTGTCTACAATTAAAATCTTGCAGCAAAAATGGAAGAATGAAACAACATGAGTGTGTGCGCGTGTGTGTATCAGTGGAAGGAGAATCCAGATGCCGGCAGGCCGCCACACCACTGGCTGATGAACTTGAGGACGTCCTGACACTCTGGACTGTGAGTGGTCTGCAGGTGGACACAAACAACAACCAATCACAAAACAGATTCAACGCACGCCGCCACTGCTGCATGTGGAAGGTTTAAAAGGTGTGTGTGTGCGTGTGTATGTGTAGATGTGAGGTAATGATGCTGCGATTTAGTCGACTCACATATTCGCATAATGTGCTGATTCACATAAAATCACTGATGTTGAGAGAGATGATGAAACTCAGTGAAATGAGTTTGTAAGTGAGACATCAGACAACTTCCTGTGTGTGTGTGTGTGTGTGTAACATTGGCATCAAAGGTCTGAATCTATTATGAATCGATAATGACTGTCAGTTTAATGTCTTGAGGAGACAATATGTGGGAAGTTGGGATTAAGTTGTTTTGAAACCCAGAGTCATTTATGATTTTAGCTTCAGACGCAGTTTACAGTGTGAGATACTTCCAGTGGTGGAGGACGTACTGAGGACTCGGTTACACCCGCTGTGTGTAAGTTCTGCCCTCAGTTGAGGTGTAAAGTCGACACTAGAGTCTCAGCTACTAAAGTTGGTTGCACCACAATTACAGATATAACCCAACTAGTTTGGACATAAAGTCATAACTAAGGCAAGTGGACAATCAATGATCAGGGTTACCGTTAGCTTTCTGGCTAGCACGAGGGACTTGGCATAGTAGGACATCGTAGTGAGCTAGATCGATATTGAAATATCAAATAAATAAATTAGGTCTGTACTCGATTACTGTGTCGCAAAATGGGTGCAATTCATGAAATAAATCATGTTGTTTGGCAGCAAAACTGTTTAACTCTGACATCTAAGTGGCATGTTTAACAATTAGGTTGTAACTTATCTCCATAGTGATGCATACATCAGAACTTATAATAATTGACGTTATAACTAGGCTCAGTTTGAATGTACACACAGCTGATGCAACCGGCTGCAGAGCCTTTAATTAAAGCTGCAGTAGGTAACATAAAAATAACGTCCACTACATCCTGACAGGACATGAGACAATGTGTGAAATGAGTCAGGCTCCTCTGGCTCGTTCTAGTGCTCTTAATGCGGTTAATTTACAAGAATCCACCGTGTCTGAATGAAAACGACCAATCAGAACCGAGAAAGATACCTGATTGGTTGAGTACACACATTTAAAATCTGCTAATTGATTAATAGTTTTGACTGTACTTGTTTAATTTATAACAAACCATCATATTTTCGAAGCTCTTTATATGTTTTGTGTGTAATAATCTTAATTTGTAAAGTAACTAAAGCTGTCAGATAAACAAAGTGAAGTCAACAATATTATTATTATAATATTTCTCTGCTGAAGTGGAGCAGAAAGTGGTTACAGTACAGTACAGTGCTTGAGTAAATGTACTTTCCACCACTGATGCTGTCTTTTGTCAGCTCTCTCTCGCTCTTGTGTACGTCAGAAGTTGTAACGGGAATATCAGATTCCAGCTTCAGAGTCAGTTTATGTCCGGTGAGAGTAGAAACCCGCCTGTCTCTCTGTCTGTTCTCACCTTTGTGGCCATGAGGAAGTTGTTCCAGTCTTCCTTGTTGGCCGCTTTCCCCCCAGACGAGAACTCGATCTTGTTCCTCAGCACCGGGTAGCCTGGAGGGCAGGAACACCGCAGAGTGAGGGGGAATTACTCACCTCATGTACCGTGAAAATCAACACCAGCAGCCAAGTGATGGTATATGCTGTTGCTGGTGAAGTTATATTATATATTATATATCTATTTCAAATGTAAAGTCAGTAAAAAGAGTAAAAATATAAGAAATACAAACTCTCAGCTCTCTCTCAAGCTGCCTTAATCTTATTCTACAACTCTGCAGTTGAAGAGGTTTATAGTTTTTTTAATATAAAAAGGAACCACTTTATATTATTAATGCTTTGTTTTGAATACACAGGTTAATAAATTACAATAAGAAACAATAAAAAGACATCCCAGTTTTTGACATATGCTTGTTTAGAGAAGTCAATAAGATATTTAACAGGAGCCAAACAAACCCCTCTTTGTTTTTTTGTGTGTGTCTGGAATACAGGAAGTGTTTTTGTCAAGTATATTTACAAATGCAGTCACTGTTTTCCTCCCCCGGCAGCAGAAATGTGATAAATACATTCATTTTAATCAACGAGACTGATCAGAGAGCGCTTTTTTTATCATCAACAAGTACACAATGAAAAAATAAATATTAAGTTTGACAGTCTTTTTGTATATTTATTCATTGTTTTTCTACAAAGATTGAATGTTTTTTCAATTTTTCTGTCAAATTTCCTCACAATCACTTTATATTTTACCTCTGATCTCTTTTAAATTTTGAATTCACCAGATTTGATGATTAAACAGGATAGTTGAGTGTGTGTGTGTGTTTGTGTGTATCTGTGTGTGT